GCCCCGGCCCCAGGGAGCGAGAGACCCGGGGACAGGGACTGGGGGCGGCCCCGGCACAGCTGGGAGCCGGGGGGCAGCGAACGTGTCCGCGGCCAGAGGCGGCACGTGGGGGGGGGGTGCAATCAGAGGCTGGCGATGGGGGGGCAGGGGGAGGCTGGCCATGGGGGGCGGGGGGTGCATGGAGAGGATTCCCTGCATCTGCCTACCCCTCCTTCACGTCACAGGCTCTGTCCCACGTTTCTTCATCTCGCCCAGCCGGGGCTCTGTGTGCCCTCTGTCCCTCCCATCCCATCCAGAAGTTCTGTAGCCTCCTCTCCCCAGACCAGGGTCCCCCCTTCTCCCCACCATTATTTCTTCTCTTTCTGTCTGAGAGAGGTGTCATTTGGGGCGTCACCATTTTAAAATTCTTTTGGGAAGATGAACAAAGCAGAGATTCCCCCAGCCTTGGAGTGACTGAGTAGGACCTCTCTTCGTTCAGCCAGTTATTACTAGACAATGTTGCCTCCCCTAATTATCAAAAGCTTTACTACTGAGTCGACTGTCTTTATTGGCAATAACATTCTAATTAATATCTACTCCATTTAACTGTATGACGATTGCCCATCCGCTGTCTAACTCTTGCTTTGGTATAACTCGAATAGTAAAGGGACAAAGTAAACAATTTATTTCTGAATACTGCCTTGAGCCTGATCAGACAGTCCCCTTGTGAGAGGGATGCAAGGATCCAGGTTTATAAACCAGACTTCTGTCTTTAATTCCTGTCACACTAGAAATAATTTTGTTTTTTAAACAGGAGAATAAACCATCCCTCATTCAGACTGGTCCAGAAGCAACCCTGCAGACCCACCTCCTTGTATTTGAGGCTGAGAAATCCAGAAAAGAAAACCGTGTTGTGTTTTTAGAAACTAGAAAGGAACTCTTCCCGAAGCCCACATACAAATGAACTTTTAATTTGCTCCTTTCATATTTAAGGGGACAGAATAAAAACTGGTCCCAGTTCCCAGGGAAATCATGTCTTGTTTATACTAATCTGGAATATAGCTGGGGATGGGCACTATCTAAAATCAAATTTTGCCTACTACAAATCTGTAAAATGCAAAAGGTTGGTTTATAGAATTTTCTATATCGTTTCATTATTTGTTTTGGATAAAGAAAATATTAAAAATCATCTTCAGTATTTGTGTCTATCCTGGTTTCCTTTAAAGGACACGAAGCTTATTCTTCAGCAGCACTTCACTTAACCCTTCA